TCATCTAATGGAAGATTGATTAAATTTGTTGCAAATTATAAGTGGTGTTTTAGTAAAATGCTAACTATAGAGTAGATTTTAGTAAATCCATGAAACTATAAGGGTATTTTAGTAAATGACCATTTCTATTATTTATCTTTCGCTTAATAAATCCCGTGCATCACACGGGTCCTCGCTAGTTAACTATTAAAATCTATAATGCCGAAACGGTATATATGATACTCAAAGAGTTTTGACCAATCAATTGCTCCCCCACGACGAAATTTGATGAAGACCACCTTATCAATGTCAAATATCACTTGAGCACAACACAAGTCATTTCACAAGTAATTAGTTATTCGAAAAAGTACGAACAGGCCCAATGCAGATTTCTGAATTCCACTGCAGACCTATAATCATTCAAAATGTCAAATACCACCACTCTACACCAATACCCGTCCGTGAATTGGCATCAATTCCGAGCTGGCACCTACCCCAACTATACTTTGGGCCTAAAAATTCTGACTCTAGGCTGAACCGTCATTCTCCCGTTATTATTTATTGATGGATCATATGACCCTCTAATAGGTAATGGAGTTAATATTGCCTGCGACCAATGTCGTAGAACAATTCAGTGACTCCCGATGATTATTGAACACGCCAGTGTGTGGTGAAAAAGACAAAAGGTCATGTCAAACTAGTACCTGATTAACACACTGGCCTGTTAAAAAATCACTGGAGGGTCGTTGAGCTGTTCTGTGATGCTGGTCGTAGGCAATCTTTTTTCTAGGTAGTGTAGGATGAGCATTCATCCTCAGATGTGCACATGGAAGAACAGTCATCACTCAAGGAAGGGCATATTGGGAAGCTAGAAGTAGGGGTTTCAATAGGCTAGTTTTGGGTTGGACTCCGTCCAAATAAAGATCAATTTGAACGGACCAACAAGACATTGAATTGGACCATGGTCCAAAGTATTTATTGGATTGGATTGAATGCGGTCCATCCATAATGGATACATATTGAATTCGTGGCATTGAACCAATATCTAGTCCATTGAATGGATTAGCTTTGGATTGGAGGGTTCATACATTGAAATGGAATGGTACAAAATGGTCCAGAGTATTCATCGGATTGGATTGGACCTGATCCATTTGTAATGGATTCATATTGGATCGAATTAGATTGGACCAAATCTGGTCCAATTGACATCCCTCGCTGGAAACTATGATGCTGAAGTTCAAGTCGATCAATAGCCTGGAATACAGCAGCTAGTATATAGCGACTGGACCTTCAACTAATCAACTTACTGAATAGAAAGACTAAACTCATCTATTTGGATAAAGCAACTACATTGGGGATGTATAATCAAGAGCTCACTTCACCATTTTGCCTCAATATTTTTTGTGTATATAAGTAGAAATGAAAATCAGGTTCCTCACTTATTTCTTTTGTAAGGGTCAAATTCTCTGACCCATCAAAATGCACGCAGAGTTATCAGTATGTAAACTAGCGGGGACCCGTGCAATGCACGGGATTTATTAAGAGAAAGCTAAATAATAGAAAGGGTCATAGAATAAAATACCCCTTATAGTTTCATGATTTACTAAAATCTACCCTATAGTTAGCATTTTACTAAAACACCACTTATAATTTGCAATGGATTTAATCAATCTTTCATTAGATGATAGTGGAAAATGATTGTGTTGACCCTAGTGTTCATTTAAATAAATTTAATCAAAAGAAAATAAAAATAAACATACCATTTTTGCCCCTAATAAGACACGGGCAACCACTCTATTGGCTATATTTGGTCCATTTTGTTTTTTATACAAAAAAAAGTATTAAGGGTATTTTTGGAATAAAAATTAATGGGCCTAATGGCAAAACAAACACTCCTTAATGAAAGGTTGATTAAGTAAATAAGTAGTAAAATATATGGGATGTTTTAGTAAAATGAAAACTATAAGGTACGTTTAAGTAAATATGTAAAACAATAAGGTGTGTAGGAATGGAAACGGGGCGGGGATCATATTCCCCGTCCCCGACCTCGATTTTGAAATTAACCCCATCCCTGATCCCCAATGGGGATGGGTTCCCCGTGGGGACCCGAATCCCCAAAATGTTTTCAGATAATAGTATTTTTTAAACAAATTTATTTAAAATAAATAAAAATTTTAAATTATAAATAATGTTTTAAATATGTTTTGATATATATATATATATATATATATAATCGGGTCGGGGCGGGGTGGGGACCTCAATCCCCATCCACGGCCCCAATCCCGACCTCGACCGGGGATTCCTATTAATCCCTGTCCCCGCCCCACCAAAACAATCCCCATTCCCAGTCCCATCGGGTCAGGGAAGTTGGGTCCCCGTAAGGGATGGGGAAAATTGTCATCCCTAAAAGTGTTTCCTAATAAATGACCCTAATAGAAACACATAGGAGTATACAATTGTTTTATATTTTCAACTTTTTAAATAATTAATAATTATTCATATTTTATATACTACTTTTAATATTTTTTTTATAATACAAAATAACAATAATTAATTTCATTTAGGTTTATTTATCAAACTGATGAAACCGACCAACCCGATTAACTCGACCCGAGTTGGTTAGTTTTCTAGTATTTTATGTTGGCTTTGGTTAAAAAATTTCCCAATTCGACCAAGTTGGATCAGTTTCACTTTGGCCATTTGTAAACCGACCAAAATCGAATGACCTAACATGGATATATATATTAATATTTTATATTTCAAATATAATTTTTAATATGGAAAAGTGGGAATTTTCCCATATTTCTTAGTTGAAAATGTTTTATATCATAAATCTAATTTTTAAATTTATTTTTAATAATTGCACTATAATTTTTAAAATTAAATTAAATTTTTTAGTTTAAATCTTTTGAACAAACTAACCAAACTAAAAAATCGACCCAAACTTATACAACTTGAGTGGGTCGGTTTTCATAAAAGGTTAGTTGGTTTCAGCTGACCAACTCCCTAACTTGACCAGGTCAATTTGGTTGGCCAAATAACCCATGACCGAACCGAACCAACTCATGAACACTCATAATTTCAGCTAAATTAATAGTCTTATCTCTGAATAATAACAATAGTTTATTTTTCAATAATTATTGAAAATTTATAGCAAAAGTACACAATTATTGAAAATATATTGATAATGAAAAATACAATAATTATAGAAATTACAAAAATACAATAAGTACTAAAAATATATTAACTAAGTCAACAAATATTATAATCTCAAATAATAATTTAATCTCCGATAAATATTAATCAATAACTTATAACAAAAATACAATAAATACAATAAGTACAAAGAATTAAATTTTAAAATTTCAATAATAGTAATTTAATCTCCAATAACTATTGAAAGTTTCCTGTTAAATAACAAAATAAAATAAATTTATACATAAACATTGAAAATACGTTTATCACAAAAGACAATAAATATTAATTTTAGTATATATAATTATATAATAAATACAGATTAAGAGTTTAAAATTATTATTTTTTTTGAAAGTTAATTTCTTGAATTATTACTTGATATAAGTGAAATTAATTATTTACAATATCATGTAAAAATATTAAACTATTATTCATTTCATTATTATGTTATAATTATTCTTCTACGTTTTAGAATTTTTTAAAATTTATTACATAATTTCTTTATTTTAACTATTCAAAATCTAGTTATGTTAAATATTTTATTAGTTAAAATATTTATTTATTTAAATACTTAAATAATATGTAAAATATTTAAATTTTAAAATATTAATTATTTATTGAATTTAATTATCCATAAAATCATAATTTATACTATTGTTACATAATTTCATTATTAATTTTGTAATATATTAAATTATTATTAATTCGAATATTATGTTATAATTA